ATTCATTACAACGATCCCCATCACAATGTTTAGTACATAATTTTTAACTAAAATAAAAATTTAGCTACCGGTCCCTTAATCACCTTGAACGAAATAGAGTGAATAGATCTCATAAAAATGTGATGCCTTCAAATGCCTTCCAAAATAAATAATAAATATTTTCAACTGTTATCCAATTTGGAATTATATGAAAATCTCTCAAGGCAATAGCTAAACGCTGATTAGCAAGAATATATTTTTAAAGCATAAAACATACAATCATATCAAGTTGTAAGAAAAAGCATATTTTGGAGCACGAAATTAAATTATCGTTTACTGCTGGAAGGAGGTAAGTGGCTGTAGAGTCTGGAGCAGAAATATTTACTTCTTAAATATTTTAGAAGGCAATAAACATAATAAGTTAATTCAAAATTATATGAATTCCAGATATACATAATGCTTGTGTATGAAGTCATTATTTCAGCTGGTAGAACATCACAAATTTTGATCATTCAGGGGCCAAATGGCTTGGAGAGAAGTGAAAAGAAATGAAGGTTAAATACATTCAAAATAATCTGCAATAGGTGACTTAGTACTTGTCGGTATCAGTTGTGGCTAAGTCGTTAGTAATAAAATGAGAGGAGTAGAAAGTCAAGAAAGACAATCTGATATTGTTCGCTTAGTGCTCAAGAAAAATCCATATCTTTAATGGTTGGGCCATGACAGTCTTATGGGCTTATAACTGTTACAGTACAGGAATTTGACTTCCAAAACGGATGGCAACGCCAAAATTTATTATGCCTAGGAAATAAGGAAATTGCCAACTGACTCGTGCAAATAATCATTCACATCATTCCTCAAGGAAATAAAAATTGTTTAGCAGCATTATGATGACAAAAGCTGATAAAGACAAAGAAGTATTAGTGGATACCGCAATAAATTAGCGAGCATGTTAACCGGTAAAACACACATTTAGATAAATAAAGAGATTTATGGGCGGCACTAGCTCAGTGTGTCCGGCAAATGAAGCATGTATGTAAGTTAGAAATAAATATCAAAAAGCCTTCAAGCAGTGAATAGGTAGGATTAAATGACTGAATTTGGCAGTGCTAAAGTGTTGGTGGATGTAATACTGCGATGCTGCTAATAGGTAGGCGTTTCATACCCAAACTCCAACAAGTAAAAGTTCAAATTGCAAACCGGCTGCAATGGGATGGAAGGCAAATGATAAATTATAACTCATAATGAATAGAATAAACGAGTTAAGAGCTTTGTTCAAAAAAGCCGGCAAGCTGAAAAGAAGTATTGCATATACTGCTGGACCTTGCAAGCAATCTTGACAAAGCTTTCTGACTCAACACTTTATGCAAGCCGGATTTTTCATTAGACTTCATCTTTAACGTTTCCTTCAAAATCAGGCACTTTAGATAGGTCATACAAACTGCTTTCGAATGGTGCTTGAGTTGTTCTAGAGAAATGATAAAAGAGAAACGAACGACAGGCAGACAAAACTGAAGAGGGATGACGACGTTTTCCAGCAAAGCGCCAAATAAGCCTTTTCCAGCAGGTCTACAAGACCAAAAGTAAACGGAGAAATTATTTTGAGTCTGATCAGTTTTCCAGTCATTCTATCCTCCGCTCTGATGATATCTCTATCCTGCCCTCCTGCAGGATGTATGCTAGCCAGGACTCGAGCCTCCTGCTAGTAAGAACACGTACAGTCAGCTATGTTTACATTTATTCGTCAGAAAATTTACAGAATCCGCCGCCACTTGCCTGACTTTGAGGGCGAAATTTGTAGACAGAGTCACTTTTATTCGAAGCGTTGCCGCTGACTTCGCCATCGGGAAGGCCGATCTCGCGATAGTCGGCCTCGATGCTGGCCAGATTTTCCCGTGCCTCTGTCATTTCGCCCTCTTCCATGCCTTCGCCGACAAACCAGTGCACAAACGCCCGTCGACTGTACAGCATGTCGTACTTGGCACCAACACTGGCCCAAACTGTCCGGATGGCCGTTGAATTGGCCAAAAGAGTTAGCGAACAGTTGGTCACGGCTGCATGAGTTTCGTTTGACAGAAAGACCGGTGGCTGAGCGACGAGGCTCACCTAAACATAGCAAAGTATGAGATTACACAGTAACACACACACACATGCACACACAAATACATGTACTCCCTTTTAGTTTTATCAGTAGGTTTTAGAGACTACTAGAAGATTATATATATGAAAGTGTTTCACCCTATTATGTTGGATGTGATGAAGGACTTGTAGATGAATTTTATCACATTGATATAAGTTTAGGGATAGTTAAAGCACTATTTGCTTATCATCTTAAACGGAATAGAATGAAACCATATATTATCACGTATTTCGTGCTTATTTACTGGTATTCAGGGTCCTGCCTTATCGTAAAATAAAGGAAATGCTAGTGAGGTTGAAGTGTTCTGGCAGAAAATGCTATCCTAGAAAGTCCGCTTCTAGACCCAAAACTGAATGGCCCTGTTTAACAATTAAGGCACAAATTAAAGAATAAACCACCATTTGTAGTGCCTTCTGGGCTGTAGTAATAGTTCAATAGTTAATTCTAATTTGGTTTGGTGATTTGTAAAAGTGAACTGGAAAAAGTATATTGGAAGACTTTGATGCAACGGTAGAGGGAGATTTCCAACTTTGAAAAGAATGGATTTGTTCGGATCGCTATAAATGCATGTGCATGTGCATTTGCATATATGTATGTATTAGCACATGTGTGTGTTTGTGCATGCGATAGATATATAGGAGCGATGAAATCTGATATCTTGTATGGTATGGAAGGATTGGAAAGCTTGATAATTTGATTAGGTCAGTTTTATTAAGGCCAGTTTAACTGGTAACACTAGTAGACTTTGAAGTAAGAGAGCCCAGATCACTTAGGCTGAATTAATGACGGATAATGAAGTTTTTCCCACAAGGGCTGGCACTAAACCCTCTTTTATAGATATTTTTTCAATGAGAATCGACCATTGCTTTGACCTTGCTCCGGTGTCATCAACACCCCTAACGGGATGCTAAATTAGGTCGTCGGCATTGTGGTGAAACAAGTTGCCGCTGTGGTGCACCAAGACGATCGCCATTAAGTCACAGGACGGGATAAGCCTCGAGA